ACAGTGGAAGAATGTATAAAGAAATTTAAGTACATACACACGATGAAATGCTATGCATGGCTAGAGAGTAATTATAAAACGGTGAAATACCTTATGACAATCACAATAAAAAAAGTTAAAAAAACCCAAGCAGGTTCAGCATCATTCGCACTCACTGTCATTGAGTCTACGCCCACTCATAGTGACCCTACAGAACAGGGTGGAACTGCTCCGTGAGTTTCTGAGACTAACTCTCTTAAAAAAAAAACAGTTTTACTGGGACATAATCCATATATCATCCAATTCAATAGTTCAATCAAATGAAGAATAGGATAATTAATTTTAGAACATTTTCTTCTTTCTGTTTTTTTTTCTTTCATTTTCTTCTTTCTTACACCCTTTGTTATTAGCTCCTCATTTCCATTTTAGAACATTTTCTTCTTTCTTTCTTTTTTTTTTCTTCTTTCTTACACTCTATTATTAGCTCCTCATTTCCTCCCAACCTCCTCTGCCCTACTCCCAAGGAATCATGAATCCAGTTACTGTCTCTATAGAGTCACCCATTCTGGATTTCATAGACCAAAAAACATACAGAAACCAAAATATAAAGAAACAAAAATGCCAATAACGATAACAAAATAAAATACAGGAAAAGCCTCAAAAAGAAAGCAGAAAATATTAAAAACTAGAACTTTGAAATGGGTCAAAAGGGAGATCAAATGATAAGGTGTTAAATTTTAACTTAACTGAATCTGCCATAATCCACTTTCCAACATACTCTGCATGATAGCAAGGCTATTCAAATCCCTCAACTACAGTCACAGGGAACTCACCAGAAGCTTAATCTATATGTGGGCTCTGCAAATGGGTTTGTGCTTTCCACTGTTATTCATAGCCTTCTGCAAATCTGGTGTTCACAATTTAAACTCTGATACCATTCCCTCTTTGGGATTTGGAATATATTATTTACAATCCTTGGATCATGCAGGCTGATGTGTGTCTTCCATGTGGATTTTATTCACGCCTCACTTTAGTTTCTACACCACACTTTGCTCTCTCATATTTTCAGTGATCTCTTCATGAGGGTGAGTATCAAGCAGAGCCATGTTATAAGAACTAATTATTCCTAGATTGGGGCTAGAATTAGAGACTGTAATTCTTTGTGGGGTTAGAAAGCCTCATCTTTCTTCCAAGGAGTAGCTGGTAGTTTTGAAGTGCTGACCCTGGCAGTTAGCAGCCCAACATGTAACAACCATACCACCAGGGTTCCTTTCACTAGTTGTTAGGAAATGTACATCAAAACCACAATGCCATACCATTTCACATCCACTAGGATGAGTATAGTCAGTTGGAATATTCATACAATGCTGATGAGAATGTAAAATGGTGTAGCTGTTTTGGAAAACAATTTGGCAGTTCCTTAGAAAGATAAACACAAAATCACTATATGACCTTGCAAAGCAATAAAGTCCCTAAGGAGTTCTGAAAACAGACTTCGGACTCAGGGGGCAGGGTTTGGCACTGCATTAGATCCAATAGGAAAATATTCATAAGGGTCAGCAGACAGACTTGGAACTATTCATAGGCTATTTTTTCTTTATTCATGTCTATCTATAGAAAATAGGCAAGGTGAACAATCCCAAGGAGAAAACAATGGGAGTGATGGTTCGGGGGCAGAGGGGAGGCAGAGGAGAGGAGAGGTGGGGGAAAGGGAGGGGGGCAGCCAACAAACCCATCGACAATCCAACAAACAAGAGATCTAAAATCGAGGGTGAGGAGGGCCTAGAATGCCTGGTGCGGGTTCGATCAAGAGCAATGTTGCCGAGAAGAAGTACAGAGAGCCCAATGAAGGTCAAACATGAGAGTGGGACAGGAGGAAAATAAAAGGAAACAGAGGAAAGAACTAGGAGGCAAAAGACATTTATAGAGTTATAAACATAGGCATGTACATATGTAAATATATTAATATATAACAATAGGGATGTAGGTCTATGCATACATATTTATAGGTTAAGTATTAAGGTAGCAGATGGACACTAGGCCTCTACTCAAGTCCTCCCTCAATGCAAGAACTTTGTTCTAATAACCCGGCATTCTGTGATACACACCTTCCTGACATGATTGCTGAAGACAAAATGGGTGCATAAGCTAATGTGGTGAAGAAAGCTGATGGTGGCTGGCTAGTACAAGATATAGCATCTGGGGTCTTAAAGGCTTGAAGATAAACAGCAGTGAGGTAGTTTATTGTGCCAACCTGGCCGATAAACACATGTGCGGTTAATTAAAGGGCGGAGGGATAAATGGCTCAGTGAACCTCGCCTTTCGAGTTCTCGGGTTTCTTGCTTTCTGATGGTCGGACCAGGGTGCAGCTGCTTTAGCCAGTTCCCTGCTTCAGCTGGCAAGGCTGACTTCCTAAAAGACATCCTTGAGGAGAACCCACAGGGACCTACCCCGATGCAACCCTGAGTGCTGGAGCAGCCCTGTGGAGACCCCTGCCAGTGCTGAGATGCTTACACGCTCACTGACTTGGCTTTCCTCCTGCAGTTGGTATCATTGCGTCTGTTTTGTTGAGATGCAGGAGGACTTTGTGGATTGGTGCTGGACATATGGGTTAATGCTGGACTTGTGGGCTTGGGCAGCACTGGGTTGGGATGTTTTCTTGATGCACACTTAATCTATATATAAAACTCTCTCATACATGAGTTTCTGTGGATTTGTTTCTCTAAAGTACCCAGAGTAACACAAGAGGCCATCTAGCTGGGAAGCAACAAAGCCCACATGGAAGAAGCACGCCAACCCATGTGATCACGAGGTGTCGACAGGATCAGGTATCAGGCATCAGAAGACTCAAAACAACCATTTTGATGTCAACGAGGGGGTTGGAATGGAGACCGAAAGCCCATCTGAGGACAGTTGGACAGCCCCTCACAGAAGGGTCACAAGGAAGGGACAAGCAAGCCAGGGTGCAGTATAGCACCAACAAAACACACAATGCTTCCTCCCCCCACTATCATGACCCCAGTTCTATCTTACAAGAGCATGTACACTGGTACAGATAAGAGCTCTAATACAGGACAAATAAACAGAATATAGGACAAATAAACCCCTCAGGACCAATCATGAGAGTAGTGATACCATGAAGGTAGGGGGAAAGTGGAGGGAGAAGGGGGTGAAAAGGAACCGATTGCAATGATCAATGTACACGCCCCCCCCCCTTCTCCCAGGGGGATAAACAACAGAAATATGGGTGAAGAGAGACAGCGCACTGTGTAAAATATGGAAATAAAAATAATTTATAAATAACCAAGGGTTCATGTGGGTGGGAGGGGGAAAAAGAGAAGCTGATACCAAGGGCTCAAGTAGAAAGAAAGTGTTTTGGAAATGATGATGGCAACATATGTACAAATGTGCTTGACACAATGGATGCATGGATTGTTAGAAGAGCTTTAAGAGCCCCCAATAAAATGATTTATTTTTAAAAAGCTAATGTATTATATGATTCCATTTATATAAAATCTCTAAAAGGGGTTAATGGTTGCCTAGGGCTAGAAGAACAAGCACTGGTGGGTGGCATAGTGAGCTAAGCAATGATCTGTTAACTGCAAGGTCACTGGGTGAAACTGACCATCTGCTCTGGTAAAGAGTTACAGTCTCAGAAACCCTGTGAAGCAGTTCTACTCTGTTCTAACGGGTCACTATGAGCTGGAATAAGCTCAATGACAGTGGATGGCGAGTGAGGGCTGAAAGGGGGGTTTAATGAGGAGTTAATAGGTATGGGGTTTCTTTTGGAGATAGATATAAATATTCAAATAAAAAGTATTGTGGTGTTATCTGCATAATTCTGAATATACTAAAAACCACTGAAGTCACCCTTTGAATGGATAATATATATCTCAATAAAGCTATAACAGAAAGATAGAAGCAATAACAGAATGATTCTGTTGATATGATGATAGAAATTACCTGGTAGAGGGGGTGGCAACTGCTAATGCAGGAGAGAGAGGATGATATTGCTAGGATGATGTCCTTGAATAAGTAAGAGGGATATGATCTAGTGACAAAGTGGAGTGACTGAATTTTGATGGTTTTTCCATAATAGAGAATGCAGCAGAATAAGCTCTTTGAATTGTCTGGTAGGTGGATGTGGTGGTGGAAATCTGTGAATGTTTTCTTTGGATGGTTTTAATTTTCCAGTCAAGCATGAAGCCAGAGAGTAAGAATGGGAAAGGAGGTGTTGCAGATTTAAGGAAAGAAAAGGGCATGAAATAGTAATTTCAAAAAAATCCAAAAGCTGCAGTAGAACTGGTGAACAGTATTACGGGTCCAGCTGAAGTCTGTGTTCATAGATCTAAAATAAGACCTAAAATAAGGCTGTGACTTTTTTCCAGCTATGTTGAGCTGTGTGGGCCCAGGCATAGCTATAACCAAGGTTGGGGTTTTACTTGGTGTGTATGCTGAAGTGATAGAGTTAGGGGCCAGGGAAGTGAAGCTGTGTGCAAAAGAATAATTATAATCATGGAAAATGGAATCTAAAATGATTAAAAGAACATGAAAATATGGTAAATCGTGGTGTGGTTATTGGAGTTCTAGAAGGAACAAGGTAAAAGGATAGGCTAATGGGGTAACACAGACTAGATGAAGGGTAAGAGTACTGGAGTGGGTTCGATGAGGTGAGGTTGAAGGGTAAGATTATCGTAGGAAAGCACATCATAGAATTGAGAGAACACTGGAATGATCACTTATGAGAATTAAAAAATCATCAAGGATTAGGACTAAAGCAGTAGCAAAGAGAGTGACAAGGAGGTAGAAGTTAGTCTTCTAGGAATGAGAAGTGATGGAGCAAATGTGCATCTGTACATGACTATAACACAGAGAGGTAGTTGATGGTGTAGCATGATGTTTTGATATTTAAAATAGGGTGTTTAATATTTATATAAATTCAAAGTCTTAATTCACAAATTACTAATTAATTACAAACGACTAAAGAGTAACTATAGGGGAGGAACATAACAGACACTTACCATCTTAACCAAGTAGTCAAAAAGTGAACCAAACCCGGATTGTGGCAAATTGATACCATATGCCTTCTGATAGGAAACACTTGAAGATACAAGTCTTCTGTTGTATTTTGCCAAAAATGAAAAAGAAATGTAATTACATGGAAACATCAGACAAACACAAAATAAAAAATAACCTATAAAGTCATTGGCCAGGAGTTTTCAAAAATATCAGTCATGAAAGACAAAAAAAGGTTGAAGAACTGTCCCAGAGTAAATGCAATGTGAGAACCTGGATTGGATCCTAGAACTGAAAAAAGTTATACATGGAAACACTAGTGAAACCTGCATAAATCATGCACAGTTGTCAACAATCTTAGCTAAATACTTGTTTCTAATGTTAATTTCCTGCGTTTGATCACTGAACTATTGTTACATAACTTGTTTACATTTGGGGAATCTAAGGGTTGGATATGTGAGAATTCTTTGCACTATTTTTATAACTTTTTTGTAAGTCTGACATTATTTTAAATAAAATGTTTTAAATTCTAAAAGATATGTTTATTTCAGAAGAACACTAAAATAGCTGGAAAGGACAATTAGGAATACCTACCCTCTAGCCTCCCAGACTCCTGGGGAAGAGAGGTATGTTGAGGCAGCTGACACAAACAGAGCACTCAGAGCATTGGTTCGTAACCTCCCTAATGCCGCCACCCTTTCATACAGTTCTTCATGTGGTGACCCCCCAACCATCACATGATTTTCATTGCTACTTCATCACTGTCATTTTGCTACTGTTATGAATTGGGTGACCCCTGTGAAAGGGTCATTCGACCTCCAAAGGGGTCGTGACCCACAGGTTGAGAACTGCTGACTCAGAGGCTTCTCATTGAGGATTGGGAGAAGTCCAGGGCACTCAGGGAGCATTGCTGACTGTCACAATAATTGAAGAGTGGGTTTTAATGACATTTGGCAGGCACGGCTGAGGAATGCTCAGCATACTGCAGTGCACAAGACAGCCTGGCACAGCAGAAAACGATCACACATTCAACTTTAGTATGTCCCACCAAACAGTCATGTAGCCAAGTTTATTCATTCATAAAAGATTTATTCCCTTGACAAGTAAGTATTGAGAGAGGCAACTATGTGCCAAGGTAATAAGGATACATCATGAAGATAACTCTAAACAAATGTAATAAAGAGATAAATGATATATTCTCTAATAAGGTGACTATAGCACTGTGGGAAAATTAAAACCAAAAGAAGCCCCAACCCCACTGTTATTAAGTCACGTCTGGTCCCATATAGCAGTGTTTCCTGGGGAGCACTGGAACCATCCAGGGGGACTGCAAAAGCAAATATCTACCATTTGTCCTGGATTATGAAAGTTTTTAATTGCCAGGGGAGGTGTTGAGTAATTTTTTTCTGAAAAGGGGCCAGTAGGCCAAATAAGTTTTGGAACCTATATTATAAAGGCTGTACATCTTCACAGAGGTCAGACAGTTTCATTTTCTCCTACAGATCAGCTGGTGAGTTTGACATGGATAGCAATCCAATGCTTATCCCACAGCACCACCAAGGCTCTTTGTGGAAAAAATCAGAGCAGGGTAAATGTGAGAGGAGGATTGAAATTTAAATAAGGTTGTTGTGGTAGGCTTCATTGAAAAAGTGACAGGCCTGAAAAAGTAAAGGCGTGAGCCTTATAGATATTTGGGACATGAGTCTTATGCATATTTGCAGTTGCTTCTGTCATAGGACAGAGTAGAACTGCCCCATTGCATTTCTAAGGCCAAGCACTTTAATCCATGTACCACCAGGGCTCCTAAGAATATTTTAGGTAGGGGGAACAGTCTAGTGAAAAAGGCCCTGAGATAGAAATGTGTCTACTCTGTTAAAATAACATTAAAGAAGATAGTGTGGATAGAATAGAGTAAGCAAGGAGAAGAGTGGTAGAACATAAGGTCAGAGAGGGCTAGATCTTGGATCTTTAAATATATGCTGACTCTTCTAGAAATTCAATAGCATATAAATGAAAGAAGGGTACACTTGTTTCTTTAGAACTATATGAGGAACTGTTCATCATTTAGAAAAATCACATTCTTGGTTTTTAAGCCACCAATCAACAAAAAGTTCATGGATCAAACAAGCAGCCATCTAAGTGAGGCATCAACTAAGTCCACATGGTAGAAGCACACTAGCTAATGTGATCCAAGGAGAGTAAAGAATGTAATCCAAATCTCAAGGAGGGAATGGTATCAGAGCTTAAACTGTGAACACCTGATCTGCAGAAGACTATGGATGACAGTGGAAGCCCAAAATCCATTTGCAGGTCCACACATGGATTAAGCTTCGGATCATAACTGAGGGATTTGTATAGACCTGTTATCACACAGAGAGCACTGCAAAGTCAATTGTGGCAGATGTAGTTAGGTCAAAATTCAATAACTTATCATTTGATCTCCTTTTTGACCCATTTCAAAGCTGTTTAATTTTTTTAAAAAATAATTTTATTTGAGGCTCTTATAACATTCTATATATCAATTGTTTCAAGAATATTTGTGCATCTGTTGCCATCATCATTTTCTTAACATTTACTTTCTATTTGAGCCCTTGATATCCGCTCCTCTTTTTTCCCTTCCTCCCCTCCAAGTTTTTTTTTTTTTAAGTGAAGGGGAAATATATGTAGATTAAGCCCCTGGTGAATCCCTTCTGACCATGGACTAAGGATTTGCTAACATGCAGAATGCATTGAAAAGTGGATGGCTAAGGGGAGAAAAAAAGAAAGAAAAGTGGATTGTTGCAGATGCGGTCAGGTTGAATTTTAGCACTCTATGTTATTTGATCTCCCTTAGGATCCATTTAAATTTGTTCTAGTTTTTTATATTTTCTGTTTTCTTTTCAATTGAAGTTTTATTTGTTTTACTTTGCTATTCTGGTTTTTGTTTGTTCATGACAGGGGAAGTTACGGGGAAATGAGGAGCATTTAAGAAGGATGAGTACAAGAATTAAGAAAATGTTCTAAAACTATGGTGATGATTGCACAACTCTTCTTGATGTGACTGAACTATCAAATTGTATGATATGTGAATTATATACCAATAAAACTGTTGGGGAAAGAAAGTTCATGGAAAAATTCCATTATCTTTCAATTCCATTTCCCCACCAAGTTTGAGAAGCACCCTCCTATGTCTAGATACACAGGTACAAGTATCATTATGATCAAGAACATTTCATTATGTTCAAGAGTATTTCAATGTGATTTCTAATGGAGTCATGTCTGAGTCTTCACATATTAATACATTTACTGTATTATTATAAAGCCATTTTATTTATTTCTCCTTTACATTATGACTAGAGCACTATATTGATTTGCAGGGAATTAGATATGTATATTCTAGTATCTACGCACTTTATTTCAGAATAGTAATATGGGGTTTCAAAATATACATTCGAAAATGGATGGGTCTACTAGACATGGCACAAACAAACAACAATAAGAAAATGAAAGGACTAGGTCACAAGCCAGAGTTAAAATAGAAGGGAATTTGCTGATGATCAGAAGGCCTGGTTGAAAGGTACAGACAAGAGGCTGTCCAGGGGCATATGAAGACACAACCCGGGTTTCTTGTGCTGTCTACCTTTTAACAAAGTTAGATGGGAAACAAAGAGTTCTTTGAGATCAGAAGCAACTCAAAGCTAGACTACATAGTCCCAAATGCCCTTAGGTCAAGCTCATTTTTGGAAATAACACCCCTCCAATAGGGAAGCTACGAGTCAGCATCACCTCTATGACAGTGAGTTGTTGTGAACCTCTTTAGGAGGATCCCTGGTTGGTATCGTGGTTAGTGTTGGGCTTCGATCCACAAAAGCCACAGTTGGAAACCACCAGCTCTGTGGGAGAAAGATGGGTCCTTCTAGTGCCATAAACAATTATAGTCTCAGTAACTCACAGGGGCAGTTGTACCCTGTTCTATAGGGATGCTATGAGTTGGAATCGACTGGATGGCAGTGAAGGTGGTTAAGAGATAGGTGGACAGGGAGAAAGCAAACACGGAGATGAAGAGATGATATTTTTTATCATGACTATTGCTATTTAATGAGATTTTTCTAGGGAACAAGAAAGAGCTCGGCAAAGTGATGTACATGCATTGTTATGTTCTGAGATGTTAAGACTCTTATTTGACCGATAGGAGTTCTTGTGGTGAAGTAGGTTACTCCCAGGTCAGCAGTTTGAAACCACCAGTTGCTCCACAGAAGAAAGACGAAGTTTGCTGCTCTCAGAGAGATTTACAGTGGGAAACGCAAAGGCGTAGTCTACTTGGCTCAATAAGGTCACTAAGAATCACAATTGGCTTGGTATTGAGTTTTCAGAATTTTATTTGACAGATGAGGAAACTGAGGCCTAGAGGGGTGAGGTGGGTTGCTGAAGGTCTCTTAGTGGGTTTTAACTGGTCAGATCGGGATTCAGTCTCCTATAGTCAATCTCAGAAACACAGACAGGCAGAAAGATGGAGACAGAGAGATGGGGTGACACAAGGAGAGAACGGGGCAAATGAAGCGCTAGAGGCATACCGACAGCACAGCAGACCTGCAGAAAGCACTCTGCCAAGAGAATGGGGCAGGGGCGGAGAGGTGGCTCCGAGTGTGGGGAACTGCTGGGTACTTACCTGGGGCCAGGGGAGCATTCATTCTCTCTCACCGTCAGCACGATTCTCTCTCCGCAACCGGCTGATCTAGGGTTGAGAGGTTGCCCAGGTGAAGGCTCGCCTAGGCCTGGTCCCTCCCGTGCTCCGCCCGAATCTCCCCCTCCCCCTCCCCCTCCTCCTTTCGGTCTTTACAGATTCTCACCACACCTCAGGCTGCCGGCTGGATCCCGTCAACGTGCGGGGTGCGCACTTCTGCGGGCCCCAAGGCGGACAGGCTCACAGACGTCCCAGTCCCCCCCCGCCCCCCAGCTGCCGATGGCTCTAGGGTTCCCATTGGAGGAGTGACCTTCTGTCTCCCCTGGATTGGCTGGAATTGGAAACACTATTTGCACCTAGTCGGAAAGCCAGCCGGAATCCAAGCTGAAGAAAACTCCGCCCCTTGAGAGTCTTTGATTGGTTTACAAGCAAAGTCCTTCCATAAGATTGGCTGTAAAATATTCATTGCCCTTGCCCGCTTATTGGACTGGGCTGGGAGAGGTCAGTTGGGGGTGAAGCCCAAACCTAGACCTGGTGCAAGCAAATCAGATATCACGAACCTCTAGAGGAGTTATTTCCCATAGATAAACCCAAAAAACTACGAGTTGGGCTACTAACTGCAAAGTCACCGGTGGGGACCGACCAGGTGTCCTGGGTGAGAAAGATGAGACTTCCTGCACCTGTAAAGATGTGCAGCTTTAGAAACCCGGGAGCACTTTTACTCTGGCCTATAAGATTGCTGTGAATCAAAACACATTGGATGGCAATGATCTTGGGGCTTTTTTGTCAGTTTGTTCGGTGAAAAGGCACGACTCCCTTGCCCTCATTTTCCCATACCTCAAAACCCAACAGCTGGAATTGGAATCAAGCCTTTTTCCTAAAGTGAGCAGCGTCCCTAGCTCCACAACATCTAGGATGGAGAAGCAAGTGTTTCTAGGGATTTGTCCAGCCACAATACGTTTAATATTCTTGGCTAACACCATAATCCAAATACGTAAATTCTTCTTTGGCCTTCCTTATTCACCGTCCAACTTTCACATGCAAATGAGGCCATGGCTTGGGTCAGGAACACAATCCTCAAAATTACATCCTTGCTCTTCAACACTTTAAAGGGGTCTTGTGTAGCAGATTTGTCTAGTGCAATATGTTGCCTTAAAAAAAAAAAAGACTAGACCAGGGCACACTACAGCACCGATGAAACACACAATATTCCTCTGGTTCTTTGAGGCTTCCTCACCCCCACTATCATGACCCCAGTCCTGTCTTTCAGTTCTAGCTAGACCGGAGCATGCGCACTGGTGCAGAGAAGAACTCACACACACGAAATCCAGGTCAGATAAAGCCCTCGGGAACAGAAATAGGAGTAATGATACCAGGAGGGTAGGGGGTTAGGTGGGGGGAGGAAGGGAGGAAAGGGGAACTGATTCAATGATCGACGCATAACCCCCACCCCCACCCCCACCCCCAGGGGGATGAACAACAGAAACGTGGGTGAAGGGAGACAGTGGTCAGTGTAGGATATGAAAACAATAATAATAATTTATAATTTATCTAGGGGTCATGAGGATGGGGGGGGGAGAGGAGCTGATACCAAGGGCTCAAATAGAAAGTAAATGTTTATAAAATGATGATGGCAACATGTATACAAATATGCTTGATACAATTTGATGTATGGAATGTTATAAGAGCTGTAAGAGTCCCCAATAAAGTGATTTTTTTAAAGTATACTTTTGTGCCATGGGAAAACCTGTTTTTTAGGTCAGGATTAATACTGAAATTTTAACAAAACTCTAGGGTCTATTCCAAACCATTGAAGATTTACAACAAGATTATGGGAATGTGGGTATTTTCAATTGCCTCATTTGCATGTGAAAGTTGGGACGGTGAATAAGGAAGGCCAAAGAAGAATTTACATATTTGGATTATGGTGTTAGCCAAGAATATTAAACGTATTGTGGCTGGACAAATCCCTAGAAACACTTGCTTCTCCATCCTAGATGTTATGGAGCTAGGGACACTGCTCACTTTAGGAAAAAGACTTGATTCCAATTCCAGCTGTTGGGTTTTGAGGTATGGGAAAATGAGGGCAAGGGAGTCGTGCCTTTTCACCGAACAACTGAAAAGTAATTTATAGATGGATCAATCAGGAAGACCTGAAAAATGAGCCAGGGAAGGGGAAACCATAAATCTCAATGAATGCAGAAGCAGGGCTGAAGTCCTTAAACTAGTGGAAGAAGATTGTAGAATTGCCCTTGCATGATAGCTACTGAAGTTGGCAATTCGCATGGTTTGGCATTTTCAATTTTAAGTTAACGTATTGGCCTCAGCAAGCTTTCTGCTTAATGGGTGCCAAAAGCATTGCATGAAGTTCAGCTAGCTCAAATAGCTGATCTGTCCTTTGATATTTTAAGCAATGATAATGAAAATATTTTATGGAACGAATTGTAATTGAGATGACTATTATATTTATCAATATGGTACAGAGAGCAAAACCCAAACAGCACAGTAACGTCTGTGGATATCCGCTGGAAAGTGTAATTCAAGGTAGAAAGGCCAACTCAGAAGGTGCTGGCCTTGTATTTTGTAATTCCAATCTTGATAGAGTGTCTCAAAGGACACAGGATGATGTTGGGGTGTTTATTAGGAAGGAGTTTTAAGAAAATGGAAAGCTACATTGGTGAGGAAAAGCCAGGTAAGTTGCACTGAGGAATTTCCCCCCATCATGACAATATCAAGGATAGCAAGGGTTGTCCTACAACAATTTCACCTACCATCCACCCTACAGCCCTGATCTGGCTGCTTCAGACTTCTTTTTGTTCCCCAAGCTCAAAGAAAATTTTAAAGGAACACAATTTTAAGTTCCCTGAAGATGTCAAAATTGGTGATTTGCCTTGAATATAAATCAGAGTGCAGAATTCTTTGAGGGAGACTTAGAGAAATGGATGTACTGCTTTCAGTAGAGTTTAGATGAAAGCTACACCGAGAAGCAATAGCTTCATATTTTGATCTTTTTGTCCAATAAAAAATTATGTGATTTTGTAGCAATATTCTTGACTTAACCTTGTATATCCTTCTGAAGGGTACTGTTTACTTTGGTGAAATTGTGCTCACTACACCCATATTCACTGATACTTTCCCCAAACCCCAAATGAAGAGTACCTACAATATAAGGACCGATTTCCCATCCATTCCCCATCCTCAAACTCAAACTCACTGATATCGAGTATATTCTGACTCATAGAGATCCTATTCAGCTTTCTCCCAAGGAGTGGTTGTGGATTTGAACTGTTATTCCTGAGATTAGCAGCCGAAATGCATAACCCACTACGCTACCAGGGCTTCTACCTGATGAACAGTGATCTATATACATATCTGTTCTTGTTTTTTTTATAAAATTGGTTTCATACAATATGTGTGCTTATATGATTGACTTATTTCACATAACATTGCGTCCTCCAGGTCTATCCATGTTACAAAGTTTCCCGAGTTCATCGTTATTTTTTATGGTTCCATATATTCCATTTCACTTATATACCGGTAATACACTTTGATTATCCTTTTATCTGTTGATGGGCATTTAGGTTGTTTCCATGTTTTTACCATTGTAAATAATGCTGGAATTAGCATGAGTGTGTAACAAATGAAATTCTTTAAGAAAATGGCTCAAACTAATAATTATGTGTCCATCCATAGGGTTCTACAGGCCTTCATCTGAGTCCAGTACAGAATTTGGAGATGGCCCATAAATTTGGGTGGGAATTTTTTTACATTTTTAAGTTCATTTTCTGCTCATTGAAACTTAGCATTTAAAAAAATATTGAATGCAATATTCAAAACTGTCACAATAGTAGTAGTTGTATTTGGAACTTGTCACCAATAGAAGTCATAGAGTTTTAAGAAGAATTGATGTACTTTAATTATGGTATTGATGAAGAATATTTACTATGCTATTGACTGCCAGAAGAAAGCTCAAACCTGTTATAGAAGAAGTAAACCAGAATGTGAGGATCATGAGAGTTTGTCTCACCTTTTAAAAACCAGTTTTATTGGGACATAATCCACATATCAGCCAATTCAATAGCTCAAGTATGTCAATGAGAGTTGTACAATTATTACCACAATCAATTTTAGAACATTTTCTTCTTTCTTGTACTTCTGTATTAGTGCCCCATTTTCCCAGAACCTCCCCTACAAAACCATTAATCCAGTTACTGTTTTTATAGATTTACCCATCGTGGATTTTGTATACTGAAAACATACAAAATCAAAGAAACAAAAGAAAAATCTAAAAATAACAACAAAATAAAATAGAGGGAAACCTCAGCTGAAAAGAAAGCAGAAAATATTAAAAACTAGAGCTTTAAAATGGGTCAAAAGGGATCAAATGATAAGGTGTTGAATTTTAACCTAACTGCATCTGCCATAATCCACTGTGCAATGCACTCCGCATGATAGCGAGGTGTGGTAGTCACACAATTTCATGTCAATTTGATAAAAGAATGAAGGGGTCAAGTCTAGCCTGTCAATGGTCACAGTCTGAATGATCCCTCCTGGTGGGCGTGGCCTTCTCACGAGGATTCTGGGAACTACTCTCTCTCTTGATTCTGCCATCAGAAGAGGTGAGCCACACTCTCTCCCTGCTTCACCTTCCTGTTAACAAGCCACATGGAGCCAGGCTGATGGAAACCAGAGCCCTGAAGATGTGTCCACTGCCATTGGATCCACAGGACTCTCCACCCACCGGCCAGTGATCTTCCTGCATTTGGCATCATTGCATGTGCTGTCTGAAGAGAAATTTATGGACTAGTTTCAGACATATAGGCTAATATCGGACTTATGGATTTGATCTGGACTTGGCTGGGATGTTTTCTTAATATACAATTGCTCTTTGATATAAAATTCTCTCTCACACACATGCAAATGTCCCTGGATTTGTTTCTCAGGTCAAACCGGTCTAACACACAAAGCTATTCACCTTTCTAGTCTATATTCAGAAGAGATTCACTAGAGGCTTAATCCATGTGTATTTCCCCTTCATGGATGCAACTTTTAAATGGATCATAAAGGGTGGTGGTGGTGGTGTTGTCAGATAAGATGCTGCATTTTAATCTAGTTATATCTAGATATTTGTCGCTACAATGCTTTCTCTTTGAAAACAAGACTAGTCACATTCCTTGACTGTAGTCAGAGGTGATTCACTGGAGGCTAAATCTATATGTGGACATTGCAACCGGATTGGGGGATTCCACTGTCATTCATAGACTCTGCAAACCTGGTGTTCACAATTTAAGCTCTGATATCATTCCCTCTTTTGGATTTGGATTATATTATTTACAGTTCTTGGATCACACAAGCTGGTGTGCTCCTTATATGTGGACTTAGCTGACCTGTCACTTAGATGCTGCTTGTTTGAAGACAAGCCTTTAAGACCTCAGACACATTTTTTTCTGATAGTTGAGCACCATCTAGTTCCTTCACCACACTTTGCTATAGCACCCATATCTTCAGTGATCTCTTCATGAGGTCGAGCATTTGGCAGGGCCATGTCATAAGAACAAATTGTTGTTAAGTTCAAATTGTTGTTAGAATTCATTGCAAATCCATTCGTACATCTAAGGTTTATATATGTTTCTAGTTCACTTTAGAGACATCATTGTGATGATATGCTAGAGAACAATATTGACCATCTCAGGAGATGGGGTGGGCATCACTTCTACTGTCATCAAGTCAATGCTGATTCATAGTGACCCTGTAGTTCAGAGTAGAACTGCCCCTGAGTTTTTGAGCCTTCACATCTTCAAAGGAATAGTAAGTTTCATCCTTCCCCCACAGAGCTGGCTGGTGGTTTCAAACAGCTGCCCTTTCAGTTAGGAGCCCAATGAGTAACCAATATGCACTAATAGTGTCATTAGTTTAGCTAATGGTATAGAATTTAAAACATTGTTGAGAAAAAGAAAATTATATGAGTACAGGCCAGCTATGAATCACAATACATGAATTGTTGATTTGTACAGATTAAAGTCTTAAGGGACTGGAGACTGTTTACATTAACAATGGCTTTTGGTGACAGGGAAAATAGCATGGGAACAGTCCTGACTACACATCCTTCTAGTTTTTCTTTAAAGTCTCAGAAAATGGGGTCCCTTTTCTTTGATCTTCAGTAAAAACTGTATTTTGGAGCTGGATTTTACCTTAAAGATTTCCTAGTACAACCCTTCTTTTTTGAGGTCCAGGCTAGGTAGCTCCTGAAAACATACACTGAGGAGTGAGGGCAGAGGGAACAAGTACCAAAGAATATCCTCTTACACCTCAGTCCAGTAAATGAGCACCCTGACCAACTAGATTAGAGGCTCATAACTGGATTTCCCTGAGGATTGGAAGCCATCTATGATAGGGTACAATGAAGAGGAACCTCAAATGTCAGGATGAGGGGACAAATAGGAATCATAGAAGAGCAGATGAAAGCCAGGCTTCGGAGCCCTACTTCAAGACTAGACTCCATCTCAGGATCAAGTGACTTCTCTTAGGCTCATCCCCAGGCATGATTAGTCCAAGTTTATAGATGGTGAAACAGAGGCCCACTAGATCCTCTTGCCAGATTTCTCTCTTCCTGGCCTATTTTAGGGTCTTTCCCTGCTGCTCCTCCTTCACCTCCACTTCAGCTCATGCTACTTTGAAATGACTCCAGATATTTCTTTCTTCCCTCTGAGCAAGATGCTTTAGGGTTTGGCCTTGTGATGTCTGGCCTTGAGGGACTGTGCTACCCTGGTCAAGATATCCCCTTTCTAGAACACCATCTTCTCTATTCATCTCTTTCCTTAAGAATTATCAGAATCATGAAAAGTAGTATTACATTAGCAATACAGTTTCACAGAGGAAATCATGAGAGGAGACCTTACCAAACTCCTTTCTATCCTTCTCTTCCCATAGTTGAATCCAGTATATTCCCACCTCTTAAAAGTGGAAGAAATGGCATGGGAGACATATCTGACCTCCTCTGGCTACAGAAGGGAGAAGTATCCAATTGCACACTAGCCCAAGGCCAATTGCCACAAGGTAGAGATCAGACATGCCTGCACCCTTCATCCTTCTTTATTCTATTCTGACACCAACCTTCCCTCTCATACCTCTTTACTTTTCTGCTGGGTTCGATCCATTTCAATGGCCATGCAGAAGTCACAGTAATACTCAGGATTGTGGAGGTTGATTAGGGTAGTTAACAGGTTACAAAAGGGTAAGGATAAGGCTCTTTTGTCAGCAGCGCCCCTTCTCAGTCATGCTGGCAGGTGTGCTTCTCTGGTCCTTGGCTTCTCACCCACGTGGTACCTAAGTCTCTGCCTCCGTAGGCCAGAAAGCTCGCTTCACAGTCCTGGCACTGCTTCTCAGATCTGCCTCATGGTCTCAATGCTTCAGCCTCTGGTGCCTCTGGTGCCTCAGCCACTTCAGGCAGGGATCTGGCATAGGATCCTCTGGTGGCTCTTCTTTCTTGTCATGGGATTCCTCTCTTCCTGCTACTGAGATAGGTCACTTACATATCCAGTAGAATGGCAAAACTGACCGATCTCCTCTAGCAGTAGTTTACACACCCCATTTGCATACCCCCAACAAATCATCTGGTAGGAATTACAAAGACATGGATAGAAAAGTCATACCAAGTAATTTCAGTTCACCACAAAATTGCTCATAGACAAATCTCTCTTACAGAAGAATTCCAATTAATTTATTTTAATACTCTCCACCAAGAAGGTGGAGCATGCACTGTGCTTTATGGCTTCCTTCCTAAGAGCATAGTATAGTATAACAAGGGGGAGGAGGAATAATTTTCCAGTGGAGAAACCTGACAAACACTACCTCAGCCAGGTGAACAAGGTTAATATGAGCAGTGATAAATCATGATGTTGAGAATGATGCTTTATCTCTGATCTTCCTCTAAAAAGTCTATAACCACAGTTATGAGAAAAAACCTCAGACAAATCCCAATTGAGGGGCAACTACAAAATACCGCACAGGAGCACTGGTGGCATAGTGGGTTTACATATTGGACTACTAATTACAAGGCCAGCAGTTCAAAACCACCAGCCATTACTCACAAGGAGCAGTTCCACTCTGTCCTATAGGGTCACTATGAGTGGGCATCGACTCAATGGCAGTGAGTTTTTTGTTTGTTGACGAAATACCTCACAAAAACAAACAAACACGCTGCCATATAGTCGATGCTCAGTCATAATGACACGATAGGGTAGAACTGACCCCGTGGGTTTCCTGACCATAGCTCTTTACAGAGTAGAAAGCCTCATTTTTCTTCCACAGAGCAGCTGGTGGTTTCAAACTGCTGACCTTGAGGTTAGCAGCCCAATGCATAACCCACCACACCACCAGGACTCTACAATAGTGCACTAAAAACAAAAATGAAGCAACCAACAACACAACTCTCATAATCCTTCTCACCACGTCAGTCTCAACTTCCTTACTCTCTGTCCCTCCATTTTAGACTAACCTTACTTTTATGGAAGGTACTCTGTAAAATGCAAATATGACCATATCTGTGAAGTCTTCCAGAAAAATACGGGTGTTGGAAGGAAATTTCACTTGTATTGTAGAAGTCTATGGGAGGCTATGAAGCAGTGAAGGAAAATGTTCCCCCCTCGGACCCCCAAATAGCTTTCAGAAAGAATCTGGGAGATATTTCTGTTGTCCGTTGAAATAAAGTTATTATATAAAAGAAGTGAAACCACCTTTTCAAGGACTTCAAGATAAAGCCTGCCTTTCAGATGACCAGCTTCCTCCAACCCCCATCACACAACTACATAGTAATTTCCTTTCGCTTTCCCCTTACCTCTATGTGCACACAAGCCATCAGGGCCATCTGAGTTATCTTTTTCTGCCATCTCTCCGGAGGCCACGCCTCAGGTTTCCCTGGGTCTCTTCTTTAGGGCTGTTGTGACGGCTAGACCATTTATCTTTTTTAAAAATCATTTTATTGGAGGCTCGTACAATTCTCATCATAAGCCATACATACATCCATTGTGTCAAGCACATATGCACATTTGTTGCCTTCATTATTCTCAAAACATTTGCCTCCCTCTCTAGCCCCTAATAGCAGTTGCTCATTTTCCCCCTCCCTCCCCACTCCCTAGACCATTCATCTTTATCTCTTACATGTGGAGGAGGAAAACGGATTTCTCTGGCTTCGACCACGCCCAACTTGCACTTAAGCCCAAGGAAAAATGTGACGCACAATATATGGTAAGGTGAATCATTAAAAACATGAAAGCGCTAGTGCGTAGGCAGCCATGTGTACGCATGCGCGACAGGTTAGGGTTTTCCGGTGCATCAAATCCCTGGGCAGCAGAAGATGGCGGTTCCCTCAGCTTCGCCTTGTGATTGGCTAAGGCAATCCGCATTGGTGGGACTCACCAGCCCAGCAGCGGGGCGGAGTTCGCCCAGCGCAGCCAATCCCCCAGCAAACAGAATCTTGCCCGTCTTTGCTACTGGGGCGGCTACACATGGGGCTGTTAGAACAGGAAATGGCCTTAGAGGGCGGCATAGAAGGCGGGACAAAAGACAGAAGCGGCATTATAGATTTGCTTAGAATTTTATTAGGATCATTAGGGTTAACAGAGAACGAGGTGGGGCTTCTAGGAGGCGGGGATGGTAAACACGGCTTTGGTGAAGTGGCCTCCCACGCACACAGAACAAGGAGGAGGCTAGTGGTAAATGCTGGATGAAGCGGGGAGACAGGCTTGAAAGGGCAGAGTGACAGCAGAAGAGCAGAGCCACCCACTAACTCCCCAAAGCCACAGTGCAGCTTTGACTATGGCCACAGTGGCCCTCACCATTTTGGGATCAGGGGATCTATATAGCTCGGTGCGGGCAGTGGCTGGGTCCACAATGACTAGGTTTAGGAGATAGTGGGGCCCTGGCAAAGGCAACACAATAAATACGTTTTGCTGCGCACAGAAGCCTAAAGGAGGGGGTGAAGGAAGGAGAAGTGCCCTTTCCCTCCGCCCTCAAAATAAAAACGACAATAACTAAACCAGAATAATTAACTTTAAACCCGTGCACGACATCAGTCACTCCATAAGTGCAAGGTGGGGCCATGTGGCCCTAGCTGAGGGCAGGGCAAGTAAGGAAAGGTGAGGAGAATGCAGATTCCTTGCATCCAGGGTGAGGCTCGCCCCCACCCCGTTTTTCCTACTTTCCTGGGAGAACCCAAGAGTTTGGGGTCTGAAACACTTCCCCCATATCGTAGTCTTCTTCACCTCCAGCCTCATCTGAGTCAACGCTGTCCTCTCCTTGCTCACTGCCTACACAGAGGGGAAAGGGAAATGGAGGAGAGCAGTTAAATGAGCAGGTAGATATCACTCTAGTAGAGAACAGAGCCCATAGCCAGGGCTTTTGGCTGTCTGGGACTACTGACTAAGTGCCTTTGCATGCAACAAGCAGCCATGAGTGTATATAGAGCCAAGGGAGTGGGAAAGAGGGTAGGGTCCCTTACTCCTGTGAGATAGATTCATCTTTGAAGCAGCTTTCTCTCCCCTCTATGAGTTATTCACAGAGCCTTTTCCTATATGCCCCACCCCTGCCCCTAAAGAAAACCATAGTGCCAAATTCCAGAATGGATAGGTCTTCCCAGCTCTTCCACCTCCAGGGGCCTATCTCTTCTTTGTATAAAGGCAAGTTCTAACATCCTTTCCAACCTCTGCTATCTGCTTCACTCCCCTACAATTTTGTCTCCATGGTCTTATTCTCAGCTGTTTCCCCTTTCTCATGTGAGTTGGCTTTGCTGATGCCCTGAAATGATTCTCACCAAGGTCAGAAATTATTTATTTAGCCCCAAACCAATGGATATCCTTGTTTTTATTTTACTTGACCTTTCAGCAGCAACTGGCATTGAATGAAATGTTTCATGACCTGGTTCTCCGATCTCTGCCCAATCACAGCCTGTTTCCTCATCTGTAAAATGGGGATAACAGTACCCACCTCATTTAAGAGTTGCTGTGAGGAGTAAATGAGCTAAAGCACTTAAGAGAGTGACTGGCACCTAGGAAGCATGTCATTATTGTTATTTGGATCCATAATTCTCACCATCCCTTCAATGTTAGTGGCCTTAAGGATAGGATTCTGCACTGGCTGGTTATCCCCTTTCTTTACAACTTCTAAGTCTCTACTTCATTCCTGGACATATAAATCAACCACCTGCTTCTGAGCTGTGTAAACCTAGATGTCCAAAAACCCTTTAAACTTTCACATTACTCCATCTACCCTACCAATCCCACCGCACCACTCCCCAGCCCAGGAAATGCCATTTCCTTTCATCAGTCATCCAGGTCTGAAACAAACCTGCGAGCTACTTTAAATGTACTTTCCCCCTCAAATCCCCACATGCAAACTTACCTCAGCATTCCCCAAAGTATGTTTTTTGGTGAACAGTGAACACTAGCTTCTGTGATCAAAGAAATGCTGGGTTCCAAAGTAAAATATTCTCAGTACCTTTAAGGTGTTAATGTACATGTACTCCACAAAGAGGATATTATTGTGTGCGTTATTTCCCCAGCATATATGGTCACTTTTGTGAGAAATAACTTTCAGAACTAGTGAAGGGTTCTCGTTTTATTTATTTTCACCCTTCTAGGTCCGTGTTCATGTGATCCCTTCTTCTAGAGAATACTCTATAATATTTCTCAGTATGGATGCAGCTTCAAATTGAAATGCTACTTATTTTTTCTAGTTTCCCCCTTTCCGTTGGAATTCGCTGCTCCCTTCTCAGGCCTCAGAGTGCACTGTTCACTTCACCTCCACACATCTGCTTCCAAACAAACCTGGGACTTCCCAAAAAGCCAAAGCTGGTATACAGAGTGTGCTCAATTGCAATGCGATTGCCACTATTTCCTCTCTACGTGAGTGTATGCATGGGTATGCACGCTTGTGTGCAAGCTGCCCTTTTAGTTTTCCACACACCGTCTCTTAACTCTCCATCTGTTCTTCATTTGTCTTTGCTATGTCACAACCTCTTTACTCATCACCTTGAACCGAAATGTTTCCTAGGTTTTATTACATGTGTAAGTTGACTGTTCCCTGACCTTTCTTTTAAAAGCTGCATAGAATGCTTTCCCTTTGCTCTACAAGAACAGATTATGTCCATGCCTTGATACCTCAGACAATCTTTCTGAGAGATGAGGGGAGACAAGAGAGGGTCTAGCTCACCTTCCTCACTGCGTTCCTCCTCTTCTTCTGAGAAGTCCTCTACCTCTACCTCATCTTCATTCAGATTGTTGCTATTATCTTGATCCTGGTCAGGGTCTTCCATACCATTCTCATAGCCTTCACTATCTCCATCATCATCACTGCCCTCATTGTCACCTTCATTGCCATCATCATCACTGCCCTCACTGTCACCTTCATTGCCATCATTATCTTCATCATCACTGTCCTCAATATCTCCTTCAATGTCACTATCGCAGCTGCCCTGGTTGCTGCTATTGGTCTGGCTGTCACCTTCAGGGCTCTCATCATCGCTATTGGGGTACTTGTTACCATCAACATTCTCATCATCATCAGCGCTCTCGTTATTGTTACGAGGATTCTCATTGTCACTGGTGGTCTTGTTATTGTCTTCAGAGTTCTCACTGTTGTCACTCGGGCTCTCATCATTGGCACTCTCATTGTTGTCAGTGGTCTCATTGTCATCAGTGGTCTCATTGTCATCATCAGTGGTCACACGGTCAGGACTCTCATTGCCACAGAGACTCTCACTGATGTCAGTTATCTCACTGTCAGTGGTCTCGAAATAGTCGGTTGTCTCCATGAAGTCAGAGATTTTGATGTCAGAAATATTTTCATTATCAGTGCTCACATCACTGTCTGAGGTCTCGCTGATAATGTCTCTCACTGCTTGATAATCATCAGAATCTTCCAGGATCATCACTTCATATTCGTCCTTGGTATTACTGTGGGGGAGACTGGGGCTGAGTAGAGGATAGTATGTGTCTTTGGAGGTGGGAGGGGGTAGGAAAGGTGTACCCAGGGAAGACCCCACCCCAAGTAGTAACTGAGGTGCCGGTAGGCTACCAGGGATGAGGTTGGGGTGGGAGAATTCCATTTCTATACTATGTAAAACCTTAGGCCAATCACATCCTATTTCTGGGCATTATTCCTCAACTTACAAAACACATTGGGCTGGGTGATCTCAAAGGTCCCTTTGGGCTCTATAAACCTGTGCCACGCTAATCTAGTATTTTCCTGATTCCTAATGAACTGCTGCTCAGCTACCAATCCCCATTACCTTTCCTGGTCTTGCTTCTTTCTGTTTGGCCGGTATCTCTCTTCTCCCAACATGTAGTAGCGTAGAGGATTAACCCACAGGTCATTCTTGATAATCTGTTGAAAGAAAGGGACGTGGGGAAAATGAAGCCACCCACATCTGCACTCCCAATTCCCCAGGTACCCAGGTACAAGCTTAGCAAGGCCTTCTCTTCCAGTGCCAGGCTGGATCCTACCTCAGCAATCCTGTCCGCTTCTGGGAGGCTATGGTTTGCGAACCAATTGAAGAAGCTGTGGCTGGTGGTCTGGTTCCTGTGCTTTTGGACTTGAGGTTCCTGGCCTCGGTGCCAGCGGATTGGAGTAGAGTGAGACACCAGTCGACCTAGGGGGAAAGGAGGCTATGAAGAGGTGACTGAATAAGAAGATGGACTCGTCCTGGGACCACTTCTTACCTGAGTGGTTATGTTGGAACTCTTTGACAATAACCATGTTTGTGAAGTAGGGATTTGTCTGGAAGTACAGCTTCATTCTGTATCCCATGGAGACATGTCTGAGATCCTGTACCTGATTAGGGTGGGGATAATGGTAGAATCTCTCTGCCACATCATGACACCTCCCACCCAACCCCAACTCCAAGGACCAGATTCCTTGCCTGGTCCCACTTCCATATATATTTCTTTGGCCTACCTGCAGGTTGGTCAAGTAGCAGAAAATGTCTTCATCACGTTGGTTGATCAAGATTGAAATTTTGGGGTGGTTGAGAAACTGATGAGGGGAGCAGTTTAGGTCAAGGATTGACTGTTCAATGAGGCAGGTAAAGCTAAAGACAGATTGGGGAAATAGGATCCCTCCTGAGTTCATATATTTGGAGCATGTGGATCTTAGGACATGCATGACCTATATTTTTATTCCCATGATACTATCTCTGTGGTGAGAGCCTGCATTTGTGGAATGTTAAATGTTTGTTAGGTGGCTTGGCCATAGGTCATATCATTGCTGGGTGTCTGGGTACTAAGAAGGCTAGGCCAATGTGCTGGGAGAGCATTTCAGTAATGCTATATATATGGTTGCTGTGATCCCCACAATGATGTCTGAATCACAAAGTTTGTGCTCAAACATTCCTATTTTGGGTACTGAAGGCTCATAGACACAAAATGTTGTGTCTATGAGCTGAGGGCGTGTGGTCACATACTACCATATATGGGGACTGAGATCCTATGTCCACAACATACTGTGTATGGGTACTGAAGGCATTTGTTCATATGCTACTATAGGTCTTTGTGATGAGAACGTATGTCTAGGCGATGTAGTACATCTGGTTTTTAAGAGCCGTATCCATGTGAACCTGTGTTTGTGTGCTAGAGACCTATGATCATGTGATGTTGTGTGTCTCAGTACTCAGAGTCCATGAACACAGAATCTTGTATATCTGTATGTTGGGAGCCTGTATCCATATTCTATGTGTCTGGGTGCTAAGAATCTGTGATTGTGTGCTATTTCGTATAAAATGTCAAGGGTCTGTGTCCACTTAGCACTCTCTCAGGATAGTAATCCCACGTGTTAACATGTTGCATGTATCAATGTTTGTCCCCAGAGATGAGCTTAGTAAATACCGATAGTGATTGGGATTGCTCCCATTCTTCCCTTTCCTTCATTTAACTGTGTTCTCTCTATACCCAGTCTTTCCCTCTCCTGATTCTGTTGTCTTTATATCCCACTGCCCTCCAATGTGTTATGTTCTGGCTAGGATTGGGATCTCTAGTGTCTATGCAGACCCAGACTTATAGATCATGCGTGACACAGACTCCCTTTATCATTGTTTCTGTGCCCTCCCCCTTTGACTTTCCTTTCCCTCTACCTCACTGTCTCTGAGGGCATTTATCTTCTATGTACCCCCCCCCACCATTCTTCTTTTGCCATCTCTGATCCCAATTTTTTTTGCCACTTATCCCTCCCCTGTCCTTGTCCTTTCATTGCTACAATACCTTTTCTTCTTCCCCCTTTGCAATCTGTGGTTCAAATTTTATGCTGGGTGGTCCTCTCCCCCATCTATACTCTAGCTTCTTTGCTGTTTTACCCTCTTCCTTCCATCTGTTTTCCTCCAAGCCTAGTCATTTTTTTTCTGATGGTGAGCCCACCCCATACTCTTTCATACTGCCCCTCCCCCACCCCCCTTTCCCTCTCACGGGCTCCCAGCCCAAGAGTATTGATGACAAGGATACTGCTTTAACCCAGAAGCCTGGGATTCGCTGGATGACGAGGTCTCTGTGCTCCAGGAAGGGTCTTCGAATTTGAATGAATTTGCGCTTGAGACGGAGGAAGGCCTTGCCTGCCTTGATGTTCATTGCCTCTAGGTCTAGTTGAATATCCTCCAGTGCCTCCAAAATGTACTCCATCCGCTCGGCATTCCTCTCATTACTTTCCTTCTTCACCTTCCTCCGCTTCCTTCTCCTCCACCTCTTCTTCTCACCTTCCATTTCATCCTCATCTTCTTCCACTATGATGACAGTCTCTTCCTTCCGCTTTGGGCTAGCCAATCTCTGGGGCCGCCACCCCCACATGCTACAGGTTTCTAGGGCCTTCTCCTCAGCAAGGCTACTAGGCCCAGTAACCTGAAAGCCGATTTCTAGATTTTCCCCAGAAGCCTCGGAAGTAGAGAGTGTTCCCAGGCTTCCTGTGGGACGGGGGCTGGCCCCCCCGTACCCGGAGTCAATTGCAGGCTCCCAGCCAGGGCTCCCAGACCCCAGGGTGAAGTACGCGCGGATCCCTCCCTCCTCCAAAATAACATAGGGTGGTGGCGGGGGCAGAGTGGGGCCCAATCTACCCCCCCTCATGTCAGCCAGCACCTGTGCCGCCTCGGTTTCTTCCCGGAGCCGCGGGCGCTGCAGAGGCGGAAGCAAAGGCATTTGCAGGAGCGGTGGCGGCGGCGGCAAATCACACTGAAGGAGGTCACGGCTGCTAGTGCGGCGAGTCTTGACCGGAGGCTCCCCGTCCGGGCGGTCCATCGTGGCGGCGATCACACAGTTCTGGGAATCGCACTCACCCTTTCGCTTCCCACCCAGGGCCCGCAGCGTCTGTCTGCGACACCTGAAGGGGAGCTGCCGCACCTCGGCGAGCAGGCCTCCGTCACCGCTCAGCTCTGGCGTTCTGGTCCCCGGATCCCGCCTCACTCCCACCGCGTAGAGCGCCTACGTCCGGACTCCTCCCTGGCACGTGGGCTCCGTTCTGCCTGCTATTGGATGCCAGCCGCCCCCCGCCCCCCCCCCCCCCCCACTGCACCCTCCGAAGCAATCTGCTTGCCAACCCCATCCCCATATGCAATCGAGTTCTGACGGCCTCCTGTCGGACCGACCAATCACCCTCTTGCCTCCGCCAGCAACAAGAGGAAAACGGAAGGCGATTGGCTGGAATGAAGCCCAGGGTAAGCTGCCTTTGCCTCTCTTTACCAAAGTTCGACCCAATGGGAAAGTCCCAGTGGTTCTGAAGACCAACCCAAACAGCAAAATAAAACAGAACAAAATACAACAAAACGCCAAACAAAACCAGGTTTTGAGGATGTGCTCAAATAAAACGGAGAGAGATCGCGCTGTCGTTTCTCCCCCTGATTTCAGAGACTATGCATTTGGTAAACCTGTCCCTCCCCCATCCTTTGCTTTTGTGCCTGGGAGAACTGTTAGGACCCGGCTGACGTTTCTGTACACCAGCCTGGAATTTAGAAACCCAGAGCCTTTGGTTTGGGGCTAAGTTTTGCGATGGCGTTTCTACCTTTGCAAAAATCGCTCTAGAAGTAATAATCACACAAAAAATACCAACTTCTTGTGTATCATTAAAATGTGATTCAGCTCTTGTATGAGCCCCAATAAAATGATTTTTTAAAATGTGATTCAGCTCAACTGCTAGATTATTCTTGGACTTTTGATCTCTTCATCTACTAAATATGCCTCTTTTTCATCTTCTGATGTCCTTTCCCCCAATTTACTGCTTTACATTTTATTTCAATCCCCCCCCACCCCCATCAGAAATGGATACTCCCTTGTGAGGCATGGTTGTGAGCCCTGGCTTTGGTGTGGGATTCACATCAAAGCTCTGCTTCTCATTTTATAACACCAACTAAAACACTGCCAAGATCTGAGCTTCAGTGTCTTCTATAACACTGGGTGACCCTAAAAAGAAGTGTAGGAGACTGCTCATTGAAGCCTTGTGATAGCAAATAATTGGAGGTAACCCAGGGATCCACCATCAAGGTAATGGATAAGAAAAATGTGATATATGTATAAGATGGACCACTAGAATGAATTAGATCTACATACATTAACAAGGCTGGATCTCTAAAAAACAGAATGTTGAGTGAAAAAAGAAACAGAACAAGATTTATAGTACAATACTGTTTATGTAAATTAAAACACACAACAATACCATATTTTTCACAGATACACAGATATGTAAATAAACACATAAACGGTGGGTTGGAAGGACATATGTTAAATACACGAGAGTGGGTGCCTATGTGGGGGAAGGGAATTGGATCAGGGATAATGAAGGGCAAAAAAGAAAGAAAGAAAGAATAAAAGGGCCTTGCATGGACCAATGATGATATAGTGTGCCAAGAACTGAGGAGTAAGTAAGTAGATAGTAAATTAATTGAGCAGGCTGGCTGGGTAGGCTCCCAGATTTGGATTTTTTCCCCCCTGTGACATCCCTCCCTTTTATTTTAGTGGAAGCTTACCAAAAGTTGTATACAGTCGATCCTTAGAGAGGGCTATCAGCTCAGACTTTTTAGTCCCTTCAGAAACCATTATCTTATGGGAGAAAGGGTATTTCCTAGCCTCTCAAGCCCTCGAAGTTTCATTTCAAATTCCCAGTCCTTATTCTCCATTGTGGTTCAGTTTCAGGAATATCTTGTTTAAATTTTGGGTAGGAGACTGAGACAGAGGTTGAGGGTGAGGCCTGAGGGCTCCAGGCATTAGGAACAGAGAGGATTTTCAAGTATCTTGACCTCCATGCTCAGAGTCTTGGCCAAGGGAGGAAAATCTTATTAGATGAGAGTCTACTTTCTTGCTACACACACACTCTCACACACTTACAGTTTTCCAGTTTCATTTCTCTAATCACTCTACTTGCTACCACAGGCACATACTGTACTTTGTCTCCTCTCACTTAGGTACATATCTATGTGTGTGTGCATGCTTGTATATATCTCTGCATACAGGCATTTGTTCACATATGTGCACCAGGCAAGTTTTCCTCAGGCGTGCCTCCCCACAATCACACCGACACACATTCTCACTCAAGCATACCTCTCCGCAGGTGGTCACACAGGCAGAACACACATACATATACAGCCAGAAAGAGAAAACATCCAATATCGCATTATTCATTTCAGTTTTTCCATTTACAAAATCCAGTGATGAATCCAGGCAGTTAGAAAAAAGAAATGGAGGAAAATCCTCCTAAATATACCCTATCCACCCCTCACCCTCTTGGTGTCCCACCCCACCCCCTGGAAAAAGCACCCCCATCACTATCACTGAGAGAACAGGCACATCCCACTCCCAATTACTCTGGACTGCTTTGCCAGAGCGACTCCACAGCCAGGCTCATTTAATGTCTCTCTTGTTCAGAGTGCCTTCCACACTCTTTTTAGGTCAAAGCTTCTCTAGTTCTGGGGCTGTCTTACAGAAGAGAGGGAGCTTAGAAGAGGAACTTCTATAGGGAAGGGAAGTGGAGGGATGGGTAAATACAGATCCCTCCCTGAGGACATTTGAGGAGATTGGAGATGCTGGACAAGACCAGGCAAAGGGATGGCAGCTTGACTCTCAAGAACTACAAAAACTGACCTTGAAGTGGGCCCAGAGTGGACTTTGCCCCTGGCATGGGAGAGAGGCTTAGGATCTTCCACTTAGGTAAGCTGGCTGCAGTCGGCTCCTCTTTGAGTGTAGGTAAAGGTATAAGGGAGGCAGGGAGGGAAGGGCTGTTGACAAGAGGGAATTTTAGGACTGAGGACCCAGAAGATCAAGGCGTACCAAGGAGGGGCTTGAAGCCCCTGAGGCTTGAGGGAAGACAAAATGAGGTCAGATAGGAGTGGACACAAGTCCACGGTGCCTTGGGGGATTATGTCTCTAAGAGTTACCAAGGCTCAAAACAAAATTTCATCTTCTGAAGAGTTGCATGAAATCAGGAAACAATTCTAGAGTTGAATTTCTCTTTGACCCCAGACTTTGGGATCCAATTACTCTAGGGAGTCCAGCTCTCTCCTTACACTTCCCTTGGGGGCTGCTTGTGCCTCTATGGCACCCACATTAGCACAAGTGAGGTTAGAGTGGATTTCAATCCTCAGAAAGAAGAGTTGGGGGTTTGGGGATCCAGGAGGCAGCTTGAGAGATTGCAGTCCACTCAAAGACTAGCTTTTTACTCATCCTGGATTTCTTTATCCCCTCCTGGCTTCTCAAACAAACGTTCCAGAAACACTTGGAAGGACTGGACATGGTGGAGAGGGAGAAGAGACTGAGCTTGGGACCAGGGTTAGCCTAAAACAAAATTGCACACAACATAGCAACCACTGCTTTCTAGGACCCAGCACCCTTTTTGGTCCCCTTTGTCAGAAGCTTTGGATCAATTTCTCCTTAAAGCATCCAGACCTTGCTAAAGAACTTGGAAGGTGGGTGCATGGGAGTAGAGAGGGCAATAAGAGCTCTGGAAGTCTATTTTACATGACAATTTCCCCCTCTCTGGACAATGTCAGAAGAAGAGACATTAAAGCAAGAAAGCCTGTCTTCTCAGCTGCTAGTAGAAAAACCTCCATTTTCAGTTTTGTTTTCTTTTTCTGAATTGTCACTTGAGAGAGAGAGCAGTGAAGAAGGAGGTGGCAGATACAGGCCACACAAAACTATAAACACCTTCCACCCAGTCCCTAACCCTAGGGAGGTATTGGCAAAGGTGGCTAGATTGTGAGTGGTCCAGAGGGCTGGGGCTAAAGCTCAGAAAGGAAGCTCCTTTACGGGGCCCCATCCCTCTTTTGCTGTTGGCCCCATTATGGTGACCACGACCTTCTCTCTGCCTGCTTGCCTATCAGCCTGCTTCACATGACACAGTAGGGTTCTCTGGGAGCTGGGGCACCTCCTGTGCCCCAGCAGGGGGCATGAGTCCTCAGGCACTTCTTGAGGTCCTTGTTGAGCAGGAAGCAGACGATCGGGTTGACAGCAGCCTGGGCGAAGCTCATCCAAACAGCAGTGGCCAGATAGCGGTGAGGCACAGCGCAGGCTTTCACAAACACTCGCCAGTAGCAGGCCACGATGTAGGGTGACCAGAGGAGTAGGAAGAGCAGTGTGATCGCGTAGAACATGCGTCCCAGCTGCTTTTCACCTTTGACCTCGTCCATACCCAGCAGCCTTCGGCTGGCTGCGTGCCCATTCTGCCGGATACCCAGCAGGGTTGGTGGCATGGGCCCACGGCCAAAGCCAGCGATCCAGTTGGCAGCAGCCTGGCCGGTGGCCCCGGGGCCATGGAATGTCCAGTTCTGGCTGATAGCTGGCACCATCTGCACTGGCTTCATCTTGCGGTGACGATACTCGAAGAGAAGAAGCTTGCCATAGACAGCATGTGTGGCTGCCATGAGCACAGCCAACATAAGCATGAAACCCAGTGTGTCATTGGCTTTGAAGTATCGATGCTCAAAGATGCACTGGTCCTCCTCACGGATGAACTTGTAGGTGCCCACGTCAAAAACAGGTGGAAAGGCCATGGCCACAGACAGGGTCCAGGCCATGCAGATGACAGCTGCACATGTCCAGAGTGTCATGCGCTTGGCGTAGAAGCGGTGGTGGGCAATGGCCATGTAGCGGGTGACACTGATGCAGAAGAGCATGAAGGCCGCATGGAAGCAAAAGAGCACGGCCATGAAAGCCACAATCTTGCAGCTGAGTGCACTGAAGGTCCACGAGGAGCCGTGGCGCACGGAAGCCAGCACAAAAGGGAAGCAGACAGCAGAGCGTATGCCATCAGCCAGGCACAGGTCTAGCAGGAAGTAGTAAGGAGCCTTGTGCAGAGCGCGCTCCTTGAGCACCAGCAAGGACAAGATGGCATTGCCCGCCAGGCTCACACACATGATCAATCCTAGAAGCACCAGCTTCACATAAGCTGATGCAGATGGCGGGGATAGTGCTCCGCTCACCTCCTCAGGCTCTCCAGTGGTGTTGGCCATACTGAGGGCCAAGGGCTGCTCTCAACCCTATGGGGTCAGCCAATCTGATACTCCATGGACCCTGTAGGACTCCATCAGCTGACGTGCTGGGTTATACCTACAAGTAGGGATATTGGAGGAGACACAGAGAAACGGAGAGATGAGCACAAGGAAAAGACAGAAAAACACACAAAAAGACACCGAGACAATGGAAGAGAAAGGCAAAAGACAGAAAAATGATAACGAAGATATAAATGGTTCGAAATTGAGACAGAAATGGAGGGTATGGGAATGAGCAAGGAGGGGTAATGAGAGAAAAGGGCCAAGAGAGCAAGAGTGGAGAGACAAAAGAAAGAGACAATGAGAAACAGGTGGAAAAGAAAGAAGGGAGAAACAGAAAGGACAATGTTAGTATGGGTTCTCCACTGATACCTTAGCTGATACCATGTATTTTACCTCACGATCCACCACACACACACACACACACACACACACACACACACACACACGTGCGTGCCTCTCTGAATCAGAAGTTTCATCAGATTGTGCTGATTCTATTTGTAATGTACCCTTTTAGTTTCTCAACTCTCATGGTAGCAGCAGTCAAGAAATCAAATGGTATATTGTATTGGGCAAACCTGCTGCACAAGGCCTCTTAAAAATGCCAAAGAGCAAAGACAACACTTGGAGGACTAAGGTGCGCCTGATCCAAGTCAGGTATTTCCAATGGCCTTATATGTGTGTGAAAATTGGACAATGAATAAGAAAGGCCAAGGAATAATTGATGTCTTTTAATTGTGGTGTTGGAAGAATGTTGAAAGTATCACAGACTGCCAAAAGAACAAACAAATTTGTCTTGGACAAAGTGCAACCATAGTGCTCCTTAGAAGTGAGGATAGCAAAACTTCAACTCATGTACTTTAGGTAGATTATCAAGAGAGACCAGTCTCTGGAAAAGGATAATGCTTGGTATAGTAGGGGGTCAGTGAAAAAGAAAAAGACTCTCAAGGAGATAAATTGACACAGTGGCTGCTACAATGGGCTCAAACCTAACAACTCCGAGGATGGTAGAACTGGACAGTCCTTTGTTCTGTTGTGCATCGGGTCACTATGAGATGGGACCAACCTGACAGCACTTAACAACAACAACAGTTTATATTTCATTTTTTAAGTGCTCAAAGTCATTTGCTAAATTTATTTCTTTACTTATGATTAGGGATGTGCTTAGAATGCTCAAGGAACAGCTGGAAAGTCAGTGTGACTGGAATGGAGTAAATAAGGGAGATAATGGTAGGAAATGAGTTCAGAGAGGTATCCGGAGTTTGGATCATGTGGGCCATGATGAGGACATTGGCTTGTACTTTTAGTGTGGTCACGAGTATATGTAAATATAAATATGTAAGTATGCTTGTGTGTATTATTTTTTTCATTAATATTTGTCGAGCGTGGCAGTTACATACTCTTTTGTCAACTTGTGAAGGGGTGGAGTTTAGCTTGTCAATCAGGTCGCAGGTTGATGACATCATTTGAAGGCTCAATGGAGATAAATAGCTCACCAGAGGCAAGATAAGCTCACTCCCTGTGAGACATTCCTGCTGACAAGACACATGGAGCTATGTTAGCGTCCTGGAGCTGGAGGAGCCATGTGGAGACCCCTGCCAGCACTGAGATGCTTCCACCACCACTGGAACCACCAGGCTTGCCACCCACTGGCATGTGATCTTCCTGCAGTCGGTGTCATTGCATGTGTTGTGTGAATCTGAAGAGGAATTTATAGATTGGTGTCAGACATATGGGCTAATATTGGACTCATGAACTTGATCTGAACTGGGCTGGGATGTTTTCTTAATGTACAATTACTCTTTACATAAAGCTCTTTCCTATGCACATGTAAGTGTTTATGAATTTGTTTCTCTAGTCTACCCAGACTAACACATTGAGCATCTACTCTTTGCCAAGCATTGTTCTAGATACGGATGATACACCTATGAACAAGACATACAAAAATACCTGTCTTGCATTTATAGAGGTATAGATAAAGACATGTACATATGCAAATATATTTATATATGAGGATGGGGAAATAGAGCTATGTACATATATTAATAGGTTTAGTATTAAGGTAGCAGAAGGACATTGGGCCTCCACTCAAGTACTCCCTCGATGCAAGAATACTTTCTTCTATTAAATTGGCATTCTATGATGCTCACCTTCCTGACACAACTGCTGAAGACAAAGTGGGTGAATAAGCAAAT